TCTCTCAAGTCCTACAAGCATCTTGGTCTATCTCTCAAGTCCTACAAGCATCTTGGTCTGTCTCTCAAGTCCTACAAGCATCTTGGTCTGTCTCCCAAGTCCTACAAGCATCTTGGTCTGTCTCCCAAGTCCTTCAAGCATCTTGGTCTGTCTCTCAAGTCCTTCAAGCATCTTGGTCTGTCTCTCAAGTCCTACAAGCATCTTGGCCTGTCTCTCAAGTCCTACAAGCATCTTGGTCTATCTCTCAAGTCCTTTAAGCATCTTGGCCTGTCTCTCAAGTCCTACAAGCATCTTGGTCTGTCTCCCAAGTCCTTTAAGCATCTTGGCCTGTCTCTCAAGTCCTACAAGCATCTTGGTCTGTCTCCCAAGTCCTTCAAGCATCTTGGCCTGTCTCTCAAGTCCTTTAAGCATCTTGGCCTGTCTCTCAAGTCCTTCAAGCATCTTGGCCTGTCTCTCAAGTCCTACAAGCATCTTGGTCTCTCTCTCAAGTCCTACAAGCATCTTGGTCTCTCAAGTCCTACAAGCATCTTGGTCTGTCTCTCAAGTCCTACAAGCATCTTGGTCTCTCTCTCAAGTCCTACAAGCATTTTGGCCTGTCTCTCAAGTCCTACAAGCATCTTGGTCTCTCAAGTCCTACAAGCATCTTGGTCTCTCTCTCAAGTCCTACAAGCATCTTGGTCTGTCTCTCAAGTCCTTCAAGCATCTTGGTCTGTCTCTCAAGTCCTTCAAGCATCTTGGTTTCTCTATCAAGTCCTACAAGCATCTTGGTCTGTCTCTCAAGTCCTTCAAGCATCTTGGTCTGTCTCTCAAGTCCTACAAGCATCTTGGTCTCTCTCTCAAGTCCTACAAGCATCTTGGTTTCTCAAGTCCTACAAGCATCTTGGTCTGTCTCTCAAGTCCTACAAGCATCTTGGTCTGTCTCTTAAGTCCTTCAAGCATCTTGGTCTGTCTCTCAAGTCCTACAAGCATCTTGGTCTGTCTCTCAAGTCCTTCAAGCATCTTGGTCTGTCTCTCAAGTCCTTCAAGCATCTTGGTCTGTCTCTTAAGTCCTACAAGCATCTTGGTCTGTCTCTCAAGTCCTTCAAGCATCTTGGTCTGTCTCTCAAGTCCTACAAGCATCTTGGTCTGTCTCTCAAGTCCTTCAAGCATCTTGGTCTGTCTCTCAAGTCCTACAAGAATCTTGGTCTGTCTCTCAAGTCCTTCAAGCATATTGGTCCGACTCTTCTACCACTGATAACCTGTCTCCTCTTCACATGATGAAAAAACACTGACTCAAAGCAAGTGTGTACAGTTTTTATAAATTCATTTTCAGGCAATTGAGGTTAAATTACTCTGACCATCCACGGCATTGCATAACATGCCAGATAAAAATTAACATAAATAATCTCCTGTTATGTGTCCGTGGATATATTTTCTGTTTTTCTAAAAGAAACCACACTGGCCACCACAATTCTGATTCTCATCATATAATTTGTTCAACATGGACACTCAGTGTTAGCTTTTCTCCTTCTATGGTAATCATTACCTAACATATCACATAATACTTAATGCAACAATTATTATATAAAAAAAACACGCAAAGTACAAAACAATAGCTACATGTATTAAAATCGCATATTAATAATAACTTTATTAATAACATTTAGTATCCATAAACCACCTGGCTCATAGTCAAACACCACACACACACACACAGCCAGCATTGGTCATGTACTGAATCTTCATTTGTTAAAACAGCAATTATTTTTATTTCTCATTTTATGAATAATTAAATTAAATGAGAATGATAAAATACTGTTGTACTTCCAGCATATTTAAAAAAAACAATTCATTTGTAACATTAAAAAATAAAACTTTATTCTACCTAGCAGCAGGGGAAAAGCCTCTAAAACTGATACAATGGTTAACTATGTCTTTGTGCACTTTCACATCTCAATGCACATCTTGTTCTCTGTCTCTGAAAGTTCCACAAGGTGCTCAAGGAGGAAAATAACCGCTAAGAAAACATTTATTTCAGAGGACATGTGGTCACTAGAGAAATGGCTGGTACTCAACAGAAAAGCAGGACGAATATATAAAAAGACTGCTGTTAGGACCACTGGTATTGGTATTATGTGCTGGCTGCTGAAGACAGAGACTCAGTACTTATGCGCATGCTCCGAGTCTGTCAGTTCTGAAGTTAACTCATTGGGGAAGCCAGAATTCTTCAGTATTCTCTGACCAAATGTATTAAGTGAGATAACACTCGTGTTAGCTAGGACTGGCAGAGACAAGTCATACCTGTATTGAGTAAGCTAACACATTATGTGTTACTCAACAGGCAGACACGAAAAGCACTAAAATTTTGATCTGGCAATTTCTGCAGCAGACTTTGTTCCAAACATTTTGGTGTTACCTTTCCTTTAGAGTAAACAAAGCAGGTCAAGCTGGTGACAAGATACATGGGCAACACCTGGTCTCCACAATAATTCTCTGGCTTTATGCTATGGAAGGGGGGGGGAGGAGGGAGAGAGACAGAGTGAGAAGGAGACAGAGAGAGAGAGAGAGCGAGCGAGCGAGCTTATTCATAAACTGCCATATTAAATGGCATTCAACATGCAGCTGGTTAACGAGTTAAAAATCAGCAGTATCGAATCCAGGTCGTTCAAACACTTCAATACAAAAATAAGTTAAAAAAACATGACAAACTAAATGCGGTCAGATATGGACAAATTGACAAACAAAATGCAGTCAGATAAGACTTGAAATTTAAAACATTGTTTTCCCTCCTTCTTTCATTTTCTATCCCTCAAGAGGGCCCTCAACCAGCTCATCTGAAGTCGTTCTATCGCTGTTTTCCCTTAGTCAGTTTAAAGATTGCAGACAAACAACACATTGCCCAATTTACTGCCTGACACATTTCATCAGGTGCACAACTAGAGTTTACTAGGCAGGTAACAGACAGGACAGGGATTGTGCCTTCTGAGTTCTTTTCTATATAATGAAGAGGCGATTAATGAAATTAGCGGAAGTTGTAGAAATTAAAACAGACAATCTGTGTAAACAAAATGATCACATGATAAATCTCAGATTTTCAAGGTAAGTGTGTGGTTAATCTAGAACTTCTGTTGGTGGGATGCACAATCAACAAGAAATGATGTGATCTTGTGTGTTTCCTTTGAAAGGATTTATACTCTGTGCTTTAGTATATGCTGCTGTAAACACGCTAGCAATGCATCTGATGAAATTGTGAAATATGTTAAATAAATTGTGCTAATATATTGTGTTCGCACTAGTTAAAGACTTAAGTCAGCTACAACTTATCAAGGTTTTTTAATACTAAGAACAAAAAAACCCTGACAAACTAGATGATAGTTCTTGCAAAACCCTGGTTGAAAAATGTCACCAATTATTCTCAGTCACAGTTTGTTTCTTTTGAGTCCAGTAGTTATTAACCTCCTTGAGTAGAACATGCTATCCAATGTCTCCTTCTGTGTATGCTTACAAACAAAACATTTCAGATTTTCTTCATTAATGAATAATTTCCATCCTTAAAAAATTGACAAGATGCTAGAGATGTGAAATGTTACAGAGGTGACTGCAATCAAGTCAGTCTTCTTCTTCTTCTTCGTGTTCACTAGCTGTAAACTCTGGTGAAAAGTTCTGGTTGTTCATCCACATCTGGACTGCAGTTCTGTTCCAGAACCTGAGTGTTGCGTGTGCATCCGTTTTACAAATCTGACTCATTTGTAAGCAGACTAATGGTACCTTGTCTCTCAGGCAGATGCACTCTGACTTTGAAGGAAGCTCCTAATTAGTCGACTCTTATGATGTGCTTTTGGGTAGGCAGTGGGTCTATTCTTGTTTTCCCTACAACAGGACATCAGAACCGACACAGGAAAAGTGGATACTGAAAACTAATGAACACACAATATGACAGGAAATCTCAACAAAAGATCTGTCTTTCTTTTCCTTGAATTTCATAGTCATGCTTCAGACCTTCATACTTTTGTTGTTGTTAATTCATTACTATTTCTACATACTTAGCACACGCCATAGTGCGATGTGATAAGGTGTTAGTCTCTTTCCTTATTATCATTTTCTGTTCCAAATCGGAGTGAAACCAGGGTGTATTCTGTACAACTTTGTGTATCAAATGAATATGGGATATGGCTTTCAGCTGGTCCTTAAAGCTTCAGAATGAAACCATCATGAGGCTTTGCTATTTGTCTGAATGCTAAATAAAAATCACAGATGACTAATGAAGAACCACTTCAACTGAAAATACAACAGACTGAACAGTCATAAAGTGAAAAAGAATATTTATCAGAAAGATGCAAAAATTGAAGCGTAAGTTAAAAAGAAACACTGGTTTCCCCAAAGAAAATATTAAATTTATTGAAATTAAATGAATTTAAGCAAAGAAAGTTATGGTCATTGACATGCAAATAACAATCAACAAACAGGTTAACTGTACCTAAATATATACGTGGATATTTACAAATATACACATTTATGCACCTCACATGGGCATATAAATTGTGAGCCAGAAATACTGCTACATGTTCCTGTGTGCATGTGTCATAATGCAATGAGTGACTGACTCTCTTCCTGTGTGTGTGCACGCACGCACATATATTTATTTTTAATCAATGCATTAGCCATCCATGTTTTTATGTTTTTACATGCTATTCATATTGTGTAATCTCATCTGATTTTAAAATAACATGCTCTATAGATAAAATATAATTGTTGTATGAAAGACGAGTGTATAGAAGCAACGATGTAAAATGAACCTGCGTGCCTAATTTGTGACCCTTTAAACATGAAATTAATTTCGTTTTATAGCACTGTCGACTATTCTGTGGTGTTAATGATGAGCATTTTGAGGCAGTTAAGTGAATTTGTACTGTCAGTTCTAAAGAATTTTCTTTCCAATTGTCTCATCTCTGCAGCCATAATATTGTCATGTGATTAAAAAAATGTAGCCATATTAATGACTCACCCTGTATGTGAAAGGATTAGTTCCACATATTGCAATTGTTACCCTTCTCCAGTTGATTATTTTCTATATCTGCATTATTCAGATGATTATTCCAAGTCTGGGGATGATTTCCTTGATTCATCATTGGGGAATCATTTCTCTGATGCATCATGTTTTGGGAGTTATTACCGGAAGCCATCGCACCCTGAGAGGTTTTCCCTTGGTTCATCATACTCTGCTGATTATTCCCTTGATTCATAACATTTTGATGATTATTTCCCTGACCCATCATACTCTGCTGATTATTTCCTTGATTCATCATATTCTGTGGAATGTATCTTTGGTTCATCATATTCTGATGATCATTTCCCTGACCCATCATACTCTGATGATTATTTGCCTGTTTCATCATACTCTGATGATTATTTCCCTGACCCATCATACTCTGATGATTATTTCCCTGACCCATCATACTCTGATGATTATTTCCCTGACCCATCATGCTCTGATGATTATTCCCAGGACCCATCATGTTCTGATGATTATTCCCGGGACCCATCATGTTCTGAGCTCCACCCCCTTGGCCCATGCTCATGCTAGCATAATGAGCCCCCGCCTGACCCTCTGGCCCAGACATCTGTTGATAGTTGAAAGGACTGTCAAAACTCCTGTTGGCCATCTGACCTTGAGGCATGCTACTGTTGTGCAAGTTCTGGTTGTTCATCATCATCATACTTTGATTACTCTGACCACTGAAGCTGGCATCTTGCCCAGTTCTCATGCTCTGCGGATGGCTGAAATTGGAAGAACTGTCTGAACCACCAGTGGCTGAGCTCGGCTGACTGTTGCCTCTGTTTGCTGCCATGCTGGGACTGGCCATTTCCCCCATTCTGGCACTCTGTGTTAACATGGCCACTTTCTGTTGTTGCTTCTGCAGTACTTGGTTCTGGATCTCTAGAAGAGTTTGCTGTTGAGGAGTCATGGAACCTGAGGTAAAGGCCGACTCGCTGTCTCTGCCAGATGAGGGTGGTGGTGGTGGTGGTGGAGGAGGAGGAGGTAGTGGTAGCTGCGACGAAGTCAGCAAAGGTACCTTACCTGCTTGCAGCTGGTGCGCCCAAGAAGGTGATGGTTGGGACTGCATCTGATTGCTCACAGGAGGGGGAGGGGGAGGTGGTGGTGCTAACAATGAAGCTGGCGGAGGAGGAGGAACACCTGTAACAGAAACACATACAAGAGGTCATCATATGTGCAACTGACATGCTTCTATCCCAGTGACCGTCTTTAGGTTACCTTCATCTTCTTACTGTTCACCGGCTGTAAACTCCGGCGTAAAATTCTGGCTGTTCACCCACTTATGGAATTTAGTCTCCTTCTAGAACATGAGTTTGTGTGTACATCTGTTCAACAGATCAAGTTTATTTGTATGCAGACTGTTTGTTGGTTCCCAACCTCTTGGGCAGATGCACTCTGACTATAAAAGAAACACTACTAATTAGTCGACTATTACAACACATTTGTCAAGGGGGTAGTAAGTCAATTCTTTGTTTCTCAACAATGGGGTCCTGGAACCCACACTGGGAGTCTTTAGCTTATAATGGGGGAGGTAGTCAACGTCATGCCAGCAACCTTTTACTTCCAAGGACATTTGCTGCATTTTAAACCGCAGCCAGAATCAATTACAACGATGATGCAGTTTTGACAAGAGTCAGTGTCTACCAATGGCAAAAATGTGTGCAAGAATACTTTAATGAGTGGATGCGTTATCTTTTCTCGTTCATCTGAGCGACGCAATTGTTTTGTGCCTGCTTACATATCAAAGCTGTGATATTTGTGCCTTTCGGCTGACATCTGACTCCATCAAACGTTTGTTGACTGGGTTAACTTCCCAGATAGTAAGTTTCATGGGACACTACGTAGCCTTATTTATGTGGTATTCTCCTTGTCCCCTTATCTACAGGTAATGTGCCCCCCTCTCCCCGGAGAACCCGTCCAAGGCAATCGCATGTAGACTGGTTGACCCTTAAGGGAAGGCAGGGACAGATTATGAGCATTCCCTGCGATCCAAAAAGGTTTTCATAAGTGCAAAGCCAACACATGACACTCTGATCCTGGGTTCACCAAAGGAATCACCACGCCCTGCACACGACTGCTTAACCTCACATCCGTATGTTGAGCTTCCCACTAGTCACAGGCTGCCCCCTTTAGAGATTAGCAGGGAGCAGCCCGCAGATCTAAGACTTCGCTGACCACAAATATAGGTACATTTCTCTTCTGTATGTTAGACACCTTAAATTTAATTTCATCTAGACACATAGCATGACAGTATGGAAAAAGCAGGCATCAGGCATGGCTTCTCCTATTTGGTCCAGAGACTCTGGTGAGTAGGTTAAATGGTAACAGACATTAACCTTTCTGCCAAACAGTAGGACCTCGACTTTTGATGGTCAGACATTTGAGACTTTGCTGTTATGCCCCAGGACATGTATCTAATGGACATTTGAGCCTAACCAGCATAGGTCTCAAATGGTCGACCATTTGGTAGAAAGGTTCAGATGTCTGTTACCATTATCCCACTCACCAGAGTGTCAGGACTTTATCTCTGCTCATATACCCACATGTGTCTGTGCAAATGAAGTACCACATATGCCCTTGAACAAGGTAAAAAAAAATACCTTGAAAAAACTTTGTTTCTAATTTGGTGAATTAGGCTATGAACCCTATCCCACTGTTTGCAGAAAGGTTTCGTATGTCCATTACCATTAACTCCACTCGGGGCCAAATAGGGAAAGCCATGCCTGATGTCTGCTTTTTCCATACTGTCGTGCTAAGTGTCCAGAGGAAACAATGTTAAAGGTGTCTAATGTACTGAAGAAGAATGCACCTATTTGCGTAGTCATCAAAATCCTAAACCCGCTGGCAGCTCCCCGCTGATCTCCGGAGGGCGCAGCCCGCAGGCTGTGGGAAGCTCAACATAAGGATATGAGGTCAAGCAGGATGTGACAATTTCTTGGGTGAGCCCAGGACTAAAGACGTCATGTGTTAGTTCTGCACTGATGAAAGCATCCTTGGGCTCTCCTCCGAATAACGGGCACTAAAGATGGCGGCCGCAAAATATCCTTTCGAGCCTCAGTCACGTGACTTAATTTGCGGTTTTCCGGCGACTACCGCCACGAGACCCCCACGAGCAAAGCTGCAGGAGATGTGGAAGCTGCTGCTTGTGGGTCCTAGCCATCTAGTTAAGCCCCAATCCACGCTGCGCTAGCGGCGTGGGGACTCGCGGTGGTCGCCGGAATACCGCCAATTAAGTCGCCAGAAGTGCGCAATTGACACGTGACTGAGGCTCGAAAGGATATTTTGTGGCCGCCATCTTTAGTGACCATTATTCGGAGGATAGCCCCTCCTTGGATGGCAGGGAATACCAATGATCTGCCTTCCCTTAAGGGCTGACCCGACTACACAGGTTCGCCAGGGGCAAAACCTGTAGATAACGTGACAAAGAGAATACTTCACAAATAAGAGTATGTCATGTCCCATGAAACTATCCGGGAAGTTAACCCAGTTAATAAACGTCCAATGAAGTTGAATGTGTCACCCAAAAGGTGCAAATATCGCAGCTTTACTATAAACAGACAATGTATTATATCACACGGACGAACGAAAAAATAAAAAGATTGTTTGAAGTCTTAATAAGAGGGTCAAATCTTCACATCATCAAGTGTCAATGTAAATGATATACTAGCCTATTAAATGACAAGCATTTAAATTCCAGCAGATACAGCAGATATTCATCATCCCAAGAAGGATAATGTAAGCTGCATCAATATCTTCAACCCTCGCCTGTTTCTTACACTGATGTTACTCTTTACATGCTGCTCTTTGTCCATGTCTTCATGATGTCTTCCTACTTACATCGCTATCTAGCTCACCTTAAGACTTTCCTTCCAGCATGGTTTTTATAAAAGCGTCAAGTCTCTTAACGTGACCAAAGGTTGAAGAGAATCTCCAACAGCCTCATCCATCCCAGAGCCTTAAAGAGGTAGACGCTCCTAAAACAAGGCATGATTATAACATTGAGAAAAACAACATAAAGATTACAGACCAGAGCATGATAGCACTAAGCTGGAAATGAGCAGACCAGAATCTTCATACTTAGAGCAGGACACTGTCGACTCGGAGAACTTGACCAAATGAGTCTAAAGGACACTCAATTGGTCTGAAACAGAAAAGGCGAGATAGAGGGTGCAGGGTTGAAAGAAAAAGAACTGTTTAAATCCTGTGCTGGAACAGATGTATAGCAGACCTTAAAAGCTGAAGAATGTGATAAAATATATGATTGTGTCTTTTTCGTGGAGAATAACCAGCCCTCTTAAACAATAATAAAATCATCATTCACAACTGTGGTTTTTTGGTGTTGAGTATTTTATAGATTAATTGGCACCTGATGGGTGATGTGAACACCAAGAAATAACCAGGCCTGTACTTCCCAGAACATTTCACAGTATTCAATTGAGGCTTGGCAAACCTGGGATGAATAAAATGAATAAAAATCCTCACCTTGACAGAGATTCAAACACTTGATGACCTGAATAAGGAGCAAGACGATGATTTACTAGGCTACTATGCCTGCTACATCTTTGCCAAATATTTGTTAGTATTTGCTTCTCCTGAACAAATGTGATCTGATCTGGCTTAACTCCCACTGCTAAGCCCTCAGCCTAACTTTCTACTTATTTTTGCATTATCTACACATGGGTAGATGAGTGTACAGAACATTTGATAGCTGCTAAAACACACATATATACATGCTTACTCATGGAGCCAGGGCTGGCAGCTCCTGGGTTACTGATGGACGACAGGCCCTGGGTCTGACTAACTTGAGGAGACTGCCAGAATCCCCCCGCATCTGAACCTTGCTGCATCTGAGGCACAGTCCCCATACCTCCCAGCAGAGGTGACTGCTGCGCAGGTGACTGGGATGTTGCCATTGGAGTAATGAGTCCTGATGGTGCCTGCATACCAGGGGGAGGCTGTGTAGGTGAATTCATCCCCTGCACTGGCAAACGTCCGTAAGGGTTGATCTGAGGAGGCCCCATTGGCATACCATAGGGAGGACGGCTTAGTAGAGGAGCAGCTGGCATAGGTTGTCCCAGTGGTGGCCGATTATTCATCTGCCATGGGGAATTTATTGCCTAGGATTGAAAATAAAGAAACATACCTCAAACAGCCTGTGATGTAGCGGCATAAGACACAGTTTCATAATTTTAACATATAGGGTTCAATTCAGCTGCAGGAAATTTGACAGCAGACCAAATGATTGGCAAACTACTGAATTTAAAATCATGTAGTAAAACCACAAACAACCAATGGCTGCTGGGCTGGTTTTGTGATGTCCTGTAAAGCAGTGTTCCTCAACCTTTTCCCAGCCGCCATCCAATAAAATAAGAGAAAACAGCCCACCGGACAGCTAACTTAACATGGTTACAAGAGCGGTTCTTATCACGAGAATGTCTGCACAGCAAGAGTTACTTTCCGCCCCATTCATGCAGCGGTGGTCACACAGCCTGTAGTACTTTGTGAGAGCGTCACATATTTCTTACTTTTAATGGTTCAATCATTCTCTCTTTTCTCGTATTGTCAACGCTAACTTGTGAGATTACTGGCATGTTATGCTACTTGCACGACGGTTTGTAAAGTAGGATGTTTTTGTATTTCTACTTTTCTTGGCGGGCACTTCTTTTTCTGAGAGGAAGCCACCACCAGAAACACAGAAATTCAAAAACATCCCAGTTTTGATATTCGTGAACTGTCACGCCTGCAGCGCTTCCCCTTAGGTACTTCTTATTTGTAAACAGGCGTCTCAAAGAGACTCACGACAAAAAAACCTTCCACAAACATTGTCCCCACACTACAGGACAGACCCTGCGACCGGCCGTGGTATGAATGGGATGGGAAGTAACTCTAGCTGTGTGGACACTATCGTGATAAGTTCTACTAAAACAAATGTAGACATTCCCAGTGTGGGTTCAGCAGCCCCATTGTGGGGAAAACAAGAACAGACCCACTGCCTACCTAAACGCATGTCATTAGAGTCAACTAATTGGGAGCTTCCTTCGAGGTCAGAGTGCATCTGCCTGAGATGCAAGGAACCAACAGTCTGCATACAAATAAGTCAGATCAGTAAAATGGATATGCATGCAGCACTCAGGTTCTGGAAAAAGTCTACAAAGTCCAGGGGTGGATGAACTACCAAAACTTTCCACCAGAGCTTACAGCCAGCCAATGATAGGAAGAAGAAATGTAGACAGTAGTTTTTTTTGTTAAATCTGATGTTGAAATTTACAATTTTCAGCTGATACATCTTTTGATTCTCATCCTTGGTGTGCTAATCCCACAGACTGCAATCGTGGAAGAGATAAACTACCTTTCCTATCTGAGAAACTACCTATCCTACCCGAGAAACTACCTATCTTACCCAAGAAACTACATATCCTACTGGAGAAACTACCCATCCCACCTACGAAACTATCCATCCCACCTACGAAACTACCTATCCAACCCAAGAAACTACTTCCTACTCGAGAAATTACTTATCCTACTCGAGAAACTACCTATCCTAACCCCTTATATGATTATGAAGACATTTTGGCAGCCGACCTGGACTTTTCTGTGGCCCACTGGTTGAAGAATACTGCTGTAATGGATATGCAACCAGCCTCAAAACAGACACTGATTTATTCAGGAGTAGGTGGAGTGTGGCTCTTGTGCCATCCTTCATAGTTTACGAAAGCAGGCTGTGATAGAGATACACCAAGTTTTCAAATAGGCACCTTAATATGCCTGGGGTGGGAAAAAGAAATGTGTTACAAATAAGGAAAATGCAGCCTCACATTGCTAGATGGTATTAACCTGTCTCTGTCTTTTATCTGCATTTTTCATATTCCAAAACAGTAATCTATTTTTTCTTTCCAGTTTGCTTCGAACATCTTTATGTGGTAGATATGTTAATCATTCCCACCCAGGTAAAAATGTAATGTAAAATGCAGGTAGTACACAAAACTGGCAATATGGAGAACAGGTAGTTTGGAAAGCAAGCAGGTAGTGTAGAAAGCAGGTAATACAGAAAGCAGGCAGTATATAAATCAGGTAATATAGAAAGCTGCTGTGTAGAAAGAAGGTAGTGCAGAAATCAGATAGTGTAGGGAGCTGATGTGTAGAAAGCAGCAGACAGTAAAGAAAGCGCATGTAAGACAGGAAGCTGCAGTGAAAAAAGCAGGTAGTGTAGAAAGCAGGTAGTACTGGAAGCTGTTGTGCAGAAAGCAGGTAGTATAGATAGCAGGTAGTAGTACAAAAATCAGGTAGTACTGGAAGCTGTTGTGTAGAAAGCAGGTAGTATAGATAGCGGGTAGTAGTACAAAAATCAGGTAGTACTGGAAGGTGTTGTGCAGAAAGCAGGTAGTATAGATAGCGGGTAATAGTACAAATATCAGGTAGTACTAGAAGCTGCTGTGCAGAAAGCAGGTAGTATAGATAGCGGATAGTAGTACAAAAATCAGGTAGTACTGGAAGCTGCTGTGCAGAAAGCAGGTAGTATAGATAGCAGGTAGTAGTCCAAAAATCAGGTGGTACTGGAAGCTGTTGTGTAGAATCCTGTTGCTGTTGCAGAGGTCAACGCTCTCATCAGACGGATCCCTTATTTGCCACTAAAGAAGCGCATGGGCATTCACAGCACGCTCAGCAGGCAGAACAGTCAAAGAAGCCAACGGTGCCTTCTCCATGACAACCAGCAGCATGACGATGGAGGTGATGGCAGTGATGCAAGCGCTCACCTGGTTCGAAATACAAAACTACACCCGTGTATTTATACTCAGTGATTCAACGAGTATGATCCGGAGGGTTCAGGCAGGTTTGGTGCGAAGACAATGGCTTGAATCATTACTGAAGTCAACTGTGCGTGGAGTCACCTTTATTTTTGTTCCAGGATACGCAGGCGTAGATAGAAATGAAAGAGCTGATAGGTTGGCTGGAGCTGCTATCACTACCAACGGTCAGCCTATGGATCATGCTGATATTATAAATGCCCTCAGAGAAATTTGGAAGGATAGAGGACTTTATGGGCAGCGAATCCACATCACTTTCCAGAATGGCAGACTTGGAAATTAAGATTGGCATAGCAAAAAACGAGACGCACACCAGACGACTTGTTAATCAACATAGAACTGGTACTATTAGCCACTGGACGTTCATACAAAGGGGAGGATCTGAGCACCTATGGACACGTCCAGAGTGCAATGATGATAACCCAACTAACTAACTAGCTGTTGTGTAGAAACCAAGTAATGTAGAAAGCAGCAGCAGGTATAGAAAGCAGGTAGTAGAAAAAGCAGGTAGTAGAAAAAGCAGATAGTATAGAAAGCAGGTAGTAGAACAAGCAGATAGTATAGAAAGCAGGTAGTAGAAAAAGCAGATAGTATAGAAATCAGGTAGTACAGAAAGCTTTTATGTAGAAAGCAGGTAGTATAAACACAGGAGGTCTAGAGAACAGGCAGTGTAGAAAGTAAGTGATACAGAACCAGTATATATTTACCATTGGATTCGGTGGAGGATTTGCAAGCAAAGTGCGCCCATAGTTTGGAGAGCTGTAAGTTGATGACTCTGTTTTTGGTGGAGGTGGTCCTTCTCCCAGCTCAGCCATCAGAGACATATACTGAAATATTTGTTATCAAGATCTCACAATTTACTAAACAAATTATATAGCAAATCAAACATCCACTGTTATGAAATGTTAAACAAATCTGAAGTATTTATTAACATATGCAGTTGGTAATTTGAGGTTAACTCTCAGAGGTAATAAAGCCAACTCCCAGAGGGAATAAGGTCAACTCTCAGAGGGAATATGGCTAGCTCGCCCAGGGAGATCTGCTGGAAGTGGCTACCAAAAACTGTTCCACTAACTAGGAATGACTCTGAAGAAGCAGTGCCACAACAGATGTGTTTAATTAAATGCATAAACCCATATTTAGCCTCAAATTTCCCACCTACATACGTCACCATCATGGATAAACCAACTTGGCTTCCAAATCTCAACGACATGAGCTAGACTAGAAACATCTCTGTGTACACAGCAGCTGTGATATTTATCACATCCACTACAATAATCCCAAATAACTGGTGTGGCTTTTCAATAACTTTTTGGCATCTTTCCACTGTCTCAGAGGAGAGTGTTCCATGAGCCAGGAAAGCATGGGAACCACAGCCCACGGCGATGTCAATTGAGGTCAAAGATACCTCTTCCCTGAGCAATATTTTAAAGACTATGTGGTGCTCATGCAACAGGATCCATATCTCGGCCTTTGCTAATGCCAAAGGAAAAGGAACATCAACAAAATGTCTGGAATAAAGCATCAGGAGAACAGTGCTGCCTGCCTTCCTGCTGGAGCCTTCTAGATAAGCCGACGACCAAGGCTAAGGGCTGACAACAGAATTTTAAAACACAGCACAATAAAAGGAACAAAGTGCACAATGATAATAAAGAAGGGCTCCGTATAATTCCAAAGTTGTACAGCAACAACAGACTGGTTACACAAGTTTAAGCACACTTATCAGCTGTCCTTTTTAATCATCACCAACTGAAAGGAGAGGAAGCTGTGGAAGCTGACTGATGATTAATCATCAAATCCAAAGAAGTGGGTTTTGTTTTTAAAATGTCTTCAGTACTGGGAAGTAAAGGCAGCCAACACATTACTGATCAAATTATTCATTCAAATAAGGGCAGAGACCTTTGCAATTTTCTTTTTTTAAACCTGAGAAGGTTAGGCATAAAGATTAAAGAGGTGAGAGGACCAACTTCACTGCCCCCAGTTTTATCCCATATGACTCAGTCACTCTCAGCAGAACAGCTAGCCGCCTTGCGAGAGCATCACACAAAGCAAAAACTCCCTTGCTCCAGTGACAATCTCAAGAAGTCTCAGTAAAAATCGCTTCTGTGAACCGAATTACGCCGCAGTAAAACAAACACATGACCTCCAGGGCACAAGGCAAATGGCTTGACCACTTTGCCACAAAGATCACAGGTTAGGCAAGCGCTCTAGACAGGGCTGTGTGTGTGTAGGTAGGAGGTAGGGAGTAATGGCAGGGTGAAAATTGGAAAGGGGGTGGGGGGAACTCTAGGGCTGTTTGTAACCATGGTAATCAACTGTGAAAGGATAATGTGTATTTACCTCACTATCCATCTTTGCTCTTTCAGCTGGGTTCTGTGCCTGCTGCATTCTGAATGAGTCCCCTGGCCTGTGTGAACCGATGCAAAATTGAAACATTGTAATACATAAAACAGACACATGTACTCATTAATATCTGAGAATTTTACATCCATGCTATTCAAACTAGCTTTGGACTGTTGCAACTTTCCATCTTCCCAGACAACAGTTACACCGTGCTGTAGATAGGTATGGTAAACACTGCCCATGGTGCTGGAAGGCCAGGGATGAAATTCCTTCTCTCCAAAACATAAGGTGTGGTCATAATGTAGAGATGATGTGTTGCCCATGCACCATGATCCTCCTCCTAGCCTACCTCAAGGGAAAGGTAACACCAAAAAGTTCAAAACAAAGCATGCTACAGAAGCTGCCAGATCAGAAGAGCTGTGCTCTGTCCAACTACCAGAGCTTCCCTTCTAGACCAGTTGCCAACCAAGTCTAAGGACCTATCTGTCCTGCTATAACAGTAAGTTTTAAGGTCACACTACCTCTTCCTAGGATAAGACTAGCATCCTCCCCCAATTGGATCCCTCCACCCAAAGTTAACAGAGAACAGGTAGAACCGACTACAGTTATACAGCAGCTCAGTCATATCTGAATAAGACCTGAAACAGGACTGTCCGCTAGTATAAAGAAAGACATCTCCCTACAACACATTGGTGGATGTGCAGTTTTATCTACAATGGATTTCAGAACTAATACTTAAAAAGATAATGTCTATACCTGTTTGGGAGGGGTCCCCACTATGCCCCCTTGCAGGGAAAAATAAAGTCACCACATGGTACATTTGGCAAGCAGCTGAGCATTATAATTTACATTCCCAATGTGGATTCTGGGACGCCATTTTGTGGGGTAAGGGGGGAGGGTTTGGGGGACATACCCACTGATACCCTAACAAGCATGTCATAAAAGTCGACTAATTAGGGGTGTTTCCTTCAAAGTTTTAGTGCATCTGCCTGAGAGATGAGAAACCAACAGTCAGTTAACAAGTAAGCCAGATCTGTAAAACGGATGTGAACGAACATCAAGAAATTTCCGCTGGAGTTTACAGCCCGTGAATGCCAACAAGAAGAAGATAATTCAGCATGTGTTTACAAGGAACAGATTCATGCGCCATTATCACTTGCAGGTGACAGATCCAGTCCTCATATAGTAATTAAAACTTAAGTTTTTATGTCCAGTGTGTCCTCCTTTCTTTGCTTCTTTCTATGAGCGCTAATAAATAATTCCCGTCTGTCTATAATACAGTTTATACTGCCATGCTCTGCAAGATGTACTGTCTTCTCTCCAGATTTCATGAACAAAAGGCTCTCAACGTGTATCCACTTAAACCAAACATGCTTTACATATTCTGTTGTAGGTATGTTTTTCTAATTTAGCCAGAGCAGTGGCCTATTCTGGTACTTCTACTGTTACAATAGGACACACAATGTTGTTTTTCCTGCCCATCAACTTATTTGTCCTTTACTTCACTAATTATTTGGGGTGGGGGGATGTCTGCACATATTTACTGTCCCAGCACTGCAACATTCTTAACAAACACCTTACCTTTTCTGTTTACAATCTTGAGCAATATGGCCAGCACCACCACAGATTGTACATATGATTGTATTTGTAACAATCGTTTGACTTTCTGCTATTTGCCGAAGTTTTCTGTGAAGTGAAATCAAAAAACATTTATTTATTAAGGGGTAATCCAGAAAAGCAATTGAAATCATGACAAAGTAGTAAACCCATTCAGGCATATTATCAGAGGTTGTTGGGCTTACATTTTCTATGATCACCTGGAACACATGGGGTAAGCAGTCAGTTGGCCTGTAAACTAAAAGAACATAGAAGAAAGTGTCCAAACCTGGAATCCTCTTAGACAAGGAAAGAGCCTGAATCTGGAATCACCTTCAGACAAGAAAAGTGCTAGAACAAGGAAAGTGCTAGAATCTGCAATCATCTTACAGACAAAAAAAGAGCCAAAACACAGAATCATCCTAGATAAGGAAAGTGCCAGAAAACAGAATCATCTCACAGACAAGGAAATCACCAGAACACAGAATCATCTTACATACAAGGAAAGTGTCAGAACCTGGAATCATCTTACAACAAGGAAAGTGCCAGAACCTGGAATCATCTTACAACAAGAAAAGTGCCAGAACACAGCATTATCTTATACACAAGCAAAGTGCCATAACAGAGAATCATCTTACAGACAAGCACACTACCAGAACACAGAATCATCTTACAGACAAGGAAAGTGCCAGAATACTGAATCATCTTGCAGATGATTAAGATACCAAAATAAAGAATCATCTTACAACAGACAGTGAAAGTGTAAGAACTTGCAATCATCTTACAGACAAGGAAAGCACCAGAATATAGAATCATCTTAAACAAGAAAAGTGCCAGAACACAGAATAATCCTACAACAGGCAAGGAGAGTGTCAGAACCTGGAATCATCTTACAGACAAGGAAAGTGCCAGAACACAGAAATCTTACAAATAAGAAAAAAAAGCTAGAATACAGAACCATCTTACAGACAAAACATTTGTCAGAATACAGATCATCTTACAGACAAGGAAGTGCCAGAATCTGCAAATCAACTTAGACAAGGAAAGTGTCAGAACCTGGAATCATCTTAGACAAGGAAAGTGTCAGAACACAGAATCATCTTAAAACAAACAAGGAAAGTGTCAGAACTTGGAATCATCGTTCAGACAAGGAAAGTGCCAGAACATAGAATCATTTTAGACTAGAAGTGTTAGAACACAGAATCATCTTACAGACAATGGAAAGTGTCAGATCCAGAATCATCTTACAGACAAGGAAAGTGTCAGAACACAGAATCATCTTTCAAGAGACAATTAATGTGTCAGAGCTTGGAATCATCTTACAGACAAGAAAAGTGACAGAACACAGAATCATCTTTCAAGAGACAATTAATGTGTCAGAGCTTGGAAAGTACAGTCAGAAAAGTGACGAACACGAATCATCTCAGACAGGAAAAGTAATAGGACACAGAATCACTTTACAGGTAAGGACAGTGTCAGAACACAGAATCATCTTAGACAAGGACAGTGTCAACACAAAAATTCCCCAAACCAAGTCTGGAATGTGAGCGACTGGCTTCCAGAAACTTAAAGAATGGAATGTAAAAAAAAATAAAACAGAAAAACTTTCTTATCTAGCAATCAAATCAAACACTTACGTCAACCCATCGTTCTCTCGCAGTGTTCCATTGAGTAAAGCCAATTCCCTCAACTGCTGCCTGCGTAAATCATTTTGTCCTTCTGGAACTTCAATGCCCTGCCTGATGATCTCTTTGATCTGATGGGAGATTAGATGATTGACAAAAAATAACATACATTACTTACTTCATTTCCTATTTAAAAACTGGAAGTAATGAAATAATAAACAAACAAACCATATACTGCCTGACATATTTCAATGCATTTTATCAGGTGTGTTACCCTACCCCAGTTACAGCAACATATAATAAAAAAAAAAAAAAAAAAAAAAATTTAACTCTTAAACTGAAACACATTGTGCTTCACAGTGTGGGTTCCGTGGCCCAATATGGGGGGGGCAGGGGGGGGGGGGGGCGCTGCGGAAAAATAGCCCATCCAGTGATTCCTCACAAGTTAGTTGTAAAAGATAATTAATCGGAGGTTTGCTGCACTGTTAATCAAACAAAAAACAAACACAGTGCTCACTGCCATTTTGAGGTTTAAGGCAGAAGAATGCACTGTGATGAGATTCTTGTGTTCTGGGGTAGGAGACTAGAGCACTATGGAGAAATGATTGTACAATCAAAGCATTCCTGCACATGATAAACCTACTCATCAACTCCCAGCTACATGTAAAAGATGTAAAACACCAAGTGACTGACTACTCTTTATCCTTGATTCTTGAATCCCATGTCTGATTACTAGTTGGATATTTTCATATCACATGGTAAACACAAAGTAGGTGAAAAATAAGGGTGACTGCAATCAAGCTGACATCAAGAAAATAATCCACTGAACTGTGACTAAGATGCGACAATCAGATATTTCTGCAGCTTTATTGGGTTGTAGTTTTTGTTGAGAAATTCTGCCACTGAAATATCCTGATTTTTTAATGAATGTTTTTCCCTTCCCACCTTCGTTAAGCTTCTTAGTCCTAGTTCAGCGGATTAATTTCTTAAACATGAAATAATATCAGTTGAAAAAATATATTTGACCAGCCTTTGTAAGCCAACACAAAAGCATGTAAATATTCCTAGTACTATCACTTCAATATTGTGTGTACATGTACTATCACTTAAATATTGTATGCGAGTGTACTATCACTTCAATATCCTATGTACGTGTACTAGCACTTCAATATCCTGTGTACATGTACTAGCACTTCAATATCCTGTGTACGTGTACTATCACTTCAACATCCTGTGTTTTTGTAATAACATTCAGCAATTTCTGAATGAAAAAAAAAAATAAACAAGCATAAACTAACCTTCTCTACAGCTTTAGTTACATTCTCTGGGATGCTGGCAGTGATGTACGCATGCAAGGGTTCATCTTCCCCGGGCAAGGGTTGGCCATCTTTGCGTCCAATTTTCCCATCCTTCACAGAACCTTTGCCTCTGATGATAATTTTTGCCCCTGTCTGCAAAACAAACAGTGAGACAAGATAACAAGGAAATTAATTAAGTACAGGCAGAAGAAAGGTGCTAATGAAAAAATATTAATTAACCTTATTTTTCTCCAGATGAGCTTTTTTGGGCTTTCCTTTTTCCTTTAAGCACTCTTTCTTTCAACTCTCCCTTTCCTCAGTCTGATTTTTTTTTTTTTTCTTTCTTCAGTTCGCTCAACTGTTTCTCTCAGCATATCTTTTACAAATCTTGTCTTCGGGTGTACCCTTTCCCCCAACAGTACATCTGTGGCCATTCTTCTCTTATTTTCAGATCATCCTGTAACCTCTTATATTTTTCTCCAAACACATTTCTTTTAAGCGTGCTTGAATATGTTTCCTTTAATTTTACCCAAACCTGACAACTTTCTCATAACTTGCCACTTTCTTTATCTTACCGCTTTCTCAACTTCATATTTTTTCCAAATCTGAAGCTTTCAATGCCGATTTCAACCTGTCTATATCATAGATTTCTCCACAACTTGCTACTTTTGTAAATTTAACAAATTTCTCTCAGCTTCCCCGATTCCTGAATTTTTTTAAAGCTGACACTTTTATTGCATATCTGAACCTTTTCTGTTCTATACATTTTACCCACAACTAATTATTCCCCTGAAGCTTACCTCTTTCTCCAAATTCTTCAATGTATTTCCCCTGGGACCAATGAGAAGACCTACAAAATTGATCTCAGGGTGTTCTTCCTGTGGTATCATGATCTTGTCATTCACACGTATAATTGGTGGTCTGTGTATGAAACATTTCACACCATCAAACAGTGGCAAATCAAACAGTTACACATTACATTCACTTAGTTTTGACAGCAATAGAAATACAAACTTTCATCTTTTCTGTGTGGGTTCTGGGTCTCCCCGTGGGGGAAACAAGAATAGATCCACTGCCTCCTTAACAAGCATGTCCTATGAGTTGATTAATTAAGAGCCTCCTTAGAAGTCTGAGTGCATTTGCTCGAGAGGCGAGGAACCAACAGTACGAACAAATAAACCAGATCTGTAAAGGGAACCGCCAATAATTTATAATACAAATGTTCTTCTATGATTCTATTATATGATGTTGGACAGTCCAAAATCCCCTTAAATCACCTGCCCCCCCCCCCCCCCCAATAACTTATCTTCCCTCTTTAACTTTCCTGCTGTCGCACATACTCTTTTGTTTTCCCCGCTCTCTTCTTCATATGTAATTTTTGCTATAAGTGCCAAACATGAACAATGAATAGGACATTAGAACAGAAAATAACTACCTGTGAAATGTGCCGTCTCCATAAGTTTACTAACAACACAAGAAGAAACAGGGTTCTGAATACCAGAATTAGAGAGAAAGTTGGAATAAGACCATGTCTGGATTATATTGACAAAGCATGAAATGGTTCAACCATCTAGTGTGAATGCAGTCAGACCAAACTGCACATGAGACTTTTTACAGCAGAACATCTGGTAGGAAGGCAAGGGGAAGATCAAGAAAGAAACGGATAAATGTACAGATTAAACGAGTAAAAAAAATGAACAAAGCCACCTCTCAAGAAGACATACAGAAAACCATGACACTGAGCTCTACAATGTGGTATCAGTAAGATGACGAAAGAAAGAAGTAGACCTACTCTAATATTCTGACAACTCCACACCCCGTAAGAGTTAATTACTGTAGTTAATAATATGACTGAGAATACAGTCAGTGTCATCTTCAAGCATGAATAGCCAAAGTTTGTTACTACTACTTCTGTTTAGGAACTTAAATTGGGGTGAGGCAGTTTGACCTTAAGCGACTTTCTGTACTCCAGATACAGGTGAATGAGCAAGTTGAACAAGAGATCTGAGGGTACTACAGATAACGTTGAAATGGGTGCACAATGTGAAGTCAATGTCCAAGAGTGAAGTTATGTTCGATCTGTTGCTGCTGTTGTCATACAGTCATCAAGGTGTTTTTAGTTCAGTTACATGCCGCTGTACACTGCATTCATCCATTTTGACTTGATTTCTGTTAACTATTGAATAGTTTGTTGATAAATATAGCTACACCTGCCATTGAATTTAGCTGCCAATAGGAATCACATTTAAATTAAACAGAATTAACAGTCAGTAACACACATGGAAAAAAACAAGAAACAAGAAAGCAACAGAAAAAAGGCAAGAAAAATAGAGTAATGAAATATGACATACTTGTAGTCACCAGGAGGTTTGAAATCTGGGTTTAGTTTCAACGCCTCCTGAATGAGCTTGTGCCGCTCTTCCTCTAGCTTCTTGCGAGTCCGATACTCACGGGTGTTCATCCTCTTACCCTCATTGTTGTAGATGGGCTCTGGAGATGGGGACCTGTTCAACAAATAGTAAAAAAACACACAAATCAATTGGAGCCATTGAGTTAGGTATTATTTATTTCAATTCATTCTGCCTGCTTATTTCTATTTCACTTGGTTATATTCCCTGCATGAATTCTGAAGCCCCATTCTGAGGAAGAAGAATAGAAACACACTGCCTCTCTGACAAGCATGTCGTAAAATGAACTAACTAAGGGTGTTTCTTTCAAAGTTGGAATGCATCTGCATACAAATAGGCCATACCTGTAAAATGGATGAATAGGAAAATCTCAAGTTCTGAAATAAGACCAAAGTCTAGAAGTGGATGAGTGAACAGTCAGGAAACATGAAGAAGCAGAAGACATGGTTCTATATATATAATATTATTATACAATTTCCATCTTATTTATTGTTATTATGGTTTCTTTCTTGATGTTGCTTGTTACTGACAACTTTTCATCATCACATCCTGTCCTACAATATTATACATTATATACTAAAAAAAGCTAGCCTACACTTCACATTTTCCCAAATATTAGGATAAACTAAAGGAAACTATCAGATAACAGGGAATTCTTTCAATAACTCCCTTTTTTTTCATAATTTTTACACACATCTAATGTTGTTTCTGATTTGAGATAATTAAGCATACATAGTTTTACTCTACATGTCTTCAAGATTTAATGCTGAATGTATAAGAGTAATATATTGACAAGGGTAGACTAATGCAGGAGGCCTGGTGGCCATGTCTCTTGAGTCGAGCTGAGTCAAGAATTGACATCACAGCACTCGGGGCATTCCCATGTGTGCTCCGTCCTCATCTTCAGCAGCCAGCGCAGAGTCCCAATACTAATGGTGCCGGTTGCAATCTGGTTATATGTCCGTCTTGCCTTTCTTTTGAGCATAGTGAGCTGGCCGGACCCTCTAGTCTACGGCCCAGGTGCATCAACATGTCTATTGAATGAGATGTTATGATGTATTCACAAGAGCTGCATACATTCTTAAAATGGGTTGTAGTAATAATAAATACCGTGGTTAATATGAAATTAAAATGTGTTTGCAATAATTTCTGAGATCGATTTCGAGTGAAATTCTGTTGTTGTTAAGGAATAGATGGGGAAAATCGGGGCTGAGAATGGATTAAACCATTTTTAGTCCATTCCTATGGGAAAAATGTGTTTGATACTCGTCCTTTTTAATATCCATTCTAACCACAGGAACAGACTAATGACAAATACTGGTGCTCCACTGTACATACACATATATGCACATACACATGCATACACACATATAAACACTGTAAAAATATTGTTTCAATAAGAAAGGGAGCAATCAAATATGATTGGAATGAAGAATTAAACGGAATACATTCCCGTGGGCCTAAAAAATGTATTAAGTGACATATACCACGCTCCTGTAGTAATTCTAATATTAAGGTTATGAGTTTTTTTTTTTTAAATAAGCATAATATCTTGCCCCAAATACCATGCAGGCAAAAACACAAACTAATGCCACTGTGCAGGCTACTCAGGCACCAACCACTGGAGAAATGCTGGGTAAGTATTTTCAAAATCAAATTAAACATTACATGACAATTAACTGTCTGTAATATCTAATTCTCTATAATCTCTAATAAAGTATCTGCAAGATTTAATTTCGTATATGTTTGAGGTAATTTAGTATGTATAAGATAAAATTAAGTGTAATATAAGATGTCACAAATATGCAAGACCTAATTCTATAAGGAAGCTAACCTCTCCTCTGGATTAGCAGGAATCCCCAGTTCACCAGTTCTCAGCTTGCGAGTAAATTCCTCAATTTGAAGATGAACTGAAAGAAAAGTAGTCAGTACATTAACTTTAGAACACACTGGCTGGAAGGAAGCTATAGCATATAAGGTACTTCTCCTTATGCACACTGAATATAATTTTGTATGATGATGTTTCTGTGACATCTGTAGCTACTGTTTCCAAAACAGGTCCTCAAATTGATTTAAGAGTTAATTATCAAAGAGGCACCAGACGTTGCTGTATTTTCGTATCCTTTTGTGCTCGCCCTTATAAGGGCGGCTAGAACTGTATTTTCATTTGCAGCTAGGCGGAGATATCTGCACCTTTTGGCCCAACACAACCATTTTCAGCAAATGCTTAATTAGTTGCATTTCATGACAAGCATCATATGGGGTAGTGGATTTATTATTCTAAAATGGGGATCACAAACCCACATACAGGGACATTTGGTCTATATTTGTAAACAAAGACAGCTGATTATTTCACCATGCTAGACTGTTTTTGATACAAAGATTATACAGCAGTCATACAGCAATAGTAAAGATAACACTAATGCTAATACTGTCAGTACAGTCTGAAGTGATAGTTATTAAACATATACTAGGTCATGACATTATGATGTTAGATGATCAACTACCCACCACACCAACATTTCCTTTATTAAAACTCCCAAATGTCCACACTACAAGAATGGGCCAAGGTCTGAGTAAAATACAACCAGAAGAAACCTCATCTGAGGAAGTAATGCAGATATCTATGCTGATGACCCAAGTAGAGCATCCAATTAGTTACTACAGCATCAGTGAAACAAGCCATAAAGGAAAAACAAATTATCATTATATCTGTACTATACCGAGTGATGCCAATAGGATTTTAGAAAGTGTGCGCAGAAAAGTCTCATGGCACAACAGCGGTCATCCTACACTGCAGAAGGTATCATTTGTATGTCACCTCTGACAGACATTTCTTTAGTCTGTGGCTTAGTAGTCACAGTCACAATTTCATAAATCTGACAGACCCGGTTCAATTCAACTGAAGGTAATTTTGTAGCAAGCTGCTTTGCACTGATTTTGATTATGGTATCAGCATTAACCATTCAGATGCCAGACGTAAATCTGCCAGCTAAAAACCACAAAAGGCAGGCAAACAATGGGGCTGGGTTATAATGTAAAAGATACACAACTAACTTTTACCAGGTCCCCGTGTGGGTTCCGGGCCCAATTGTGGGGAAAACGAGAATAGACCCACTGCCTGTCCAAAAAGCATTTGATAGGAGTCAAATAATTATGGGCTTCAAGTCGGAATGCATCTGCCTGATAGGAAAGGAACCAACAGTCTGCACACAATAGGTCAGATCTGTAAAATGGATGCGCATGCAACACAAGTTCTAGGAGAAGACTACAGTCCAGAGATGGACGAACAACCAGAACTTTCTGCCAGAGTTTACAGTCAGTAAACGCGAAGAATATAAAACTTTACCAGGCATCACAATCCTTATTAAAAGATTGGTAGCCTGGCTTTTCAGTTAACCAATCATATAGAGGCCCCATTACAAACGAAGAGGTTCCGCCATAAAATTATACATCACATTGGCAACTATGAACCTCTTTTAACTACAGTGAAAAGGTGAAAAATGCAATAAGATCTAACGGCCTATCAAAAACAATACTAAAGGGCTTAGTAGAGGGAAAGAGGAGAAGAGGCAGACCAAGAAAGACATGGTTACAGAATCTTATAGACTGGACAGGCCTCAGGTATGCAACCATGAAGTCCATCCCAACTGACTGCCAAAGGTGGAGAGATGATCAGACAGTCAACAGAAACTGGTGACCCAACGACATGTAGTGTTACGGGATGATAAGGATGAAGATAAATCCTTGGTGGAAGAACATGAGCAGAATAACTGGCAATACTGAATAAACATCAGCAGAACATACCCACATACTGTCGTTGCTGTGATTCTGTCAGATTTGAAGGTATTACAGTTGGCATGCCAGGGATGACAATTTTATCTTCAGGATTAGTGCTCCATCTGCTTCTTCTCTTGCGCTTATTCTCTGGAAATGCATCTCCGCTATTACTATGGTCCTCTCCACTGTTCCACCCTTCAGGCCCACCTTGGTTCAAGATTAAAATACGTGCATTTACTGACACATAATTAATAAAATTAGTTGACACCAGAACAAAAGTAAAATAATGTACTATCAAAGAAATTATTAACTTTTCCTTTTTGTATGAATGTATTATGCATAGTCATATAACGAAAACGGGAAACCCTAGAGCGAAACACCATACAATATTCTTTGTGTCACTGGTTGTGTTCTGAGAGCTGATCACTTATCAGAAATTAGGAACCTGTCAAACTGAATCTAGACTGGTGCTGATAAAATATGATTAGACCAATTTCACAAGATAATAAATGAAATATAAAAGTAAAAGGAATTTAAATGGCCAAATAGCACTACAGGGGTAATCATTACAAGGATATGAGTTAAGAACCAACATTATAGAATAAAGACAATCACACAAGCACTCCATTACCATCTTCAGCAGCAAGCACAGAGTTCCAATTCTGAGGGTACCAGTAACAGTCTGACTGTATGCTGTTTCCTCCCTTCTCTGAGTGTTGAGGTAAGCCAGAATCCCTGGTCACTCCTCACTGCACTATTCTCTTTAGACCGATGATCTATTTGCCTCCACAGTTTACTTGTTGCTAAACTGCCCTTGCAACATCTAGCTTTTCATGCATCAAGTCACTACTCAACTCACTACTACTGGTGAAGCAGTGTCTTATCTGCCTGTTTATTTCCCGACACACCAGCATCACCCCTTAGAAAATATCCAAAGGACGCTAACTACGTGAGACTGATATCTTTACATGACATTATATCGTATTTTAACACATTAAAAAGATGTGTAATTAACACAGAAATTCTAAAATATAACTTTTATTTTAAATCCACAATTTTAATTAAAACAAATGATGACGAAACAATAAATAAATTCAAACATGTTCATCTATCATATCTCAGTTATCTAAAGTAACATGTATTATTGATACAAATTATTCTTAAAGACGTGAACAAGTCATATTTCTCGTTAATAAATGAAGTGTAACAAAAACACAAACTAAAACATACAGTGAGAACGACATCGAAAGTTCGTCAACATGTTTTCTCGCAGCGACGCCATCTTGCATTTTGTAAAACCGTACAAACAAACAAATATAATTTTTCACCAATGATACACAAAGCAATCATTCACTAAAATGTTTAATTAACAGCTTCTCAACAAGCTTATCACGTCTAGAAAGATCTTTGGGTTCAGAATAATGGGGATTATCTTACCATCACTAAAACTAAATGGTCGTTTTAAGCCTGGCAGACTGCTATACATTTTGTTTTTGTGAAGTTATGTCCCCTGTATGAGGAAACACGTCACCTTAAGGTCGCTGGCGGACCCGGATCATCATCATCATCATCATCATCATCATCATCATCAGAAACGACGACACAAAGAAAACATTTTAATTTTTCTAGGTGAGGCTGATGGTAATCAGAGACTTAAACCTTGTTTATGTGCCCAATAACAACAATAATAATAACATTAATGAGCAGGTTTTTTAAGAGAACGTCGCTCTAGTCACGGTACGCCTGAAATTATCTCTTTAGTATTATGATCCTTACGTCCTTCTTAGGAAGTAAATTTTTGGTGTTTGAAGCCCCACTCTGGCTTTTGCCAGGGGCCGCAATATAGGCAGGCCATCAATGTGGCCAATTGTCTGAACGCGGTTTCTGGGACCTCTCCACGGTGATCCTCATCCGCATGGTGGCACTTTATGTCATCGGGTGTTTATCGCTTGTGTGATGTCCTGGTGGGGTAGAAAGTCAGTCAGTCATTATCTCTTTCTCAAGCCAATTATCCAACCCTATGTGTTTTCATAGCCAATACATCTTCAATGTCTGGTATCCACATACAAGGAAATCTGCCCATGGCACGTTTTCAGGAAATTGAACCGTCCATCACCGCTCGCTCTAGGTCACCATGACGTTAAACATGGCCAAAAATACCTCAGCTTTCTAGACAGAATAATGTTTATGGGCAAATTCTTCTTGTAAACAACAATGACAATAGTATTAATAATAATAATTACTAATATTATTATTCTGTGTGGCACATTAATGTATTATTTTTGAAATAATATCAAATCTATAAACAAATAATAACAAAAAGTCCATGCTTGGTTACAAGGCCACTTAGGCCCCTTGCAAATCTGCTAGTGGGTATGGGCGGCGAAGGGAGTTGGGGCGCGGGGGGGGGGGGGACTTAGCCTTCCCTCCAATGAAATTATTATCCCCTATTCAGACTGAAGAAAAGGCTCAGGGGCCCCCAGGTTTCGGTGCCTACCATCCTCATCATCGCCATGTAGTATGTCTTTTAGAGTACGTCGCTCCCATCACAACCCGCCTTTAAAAAAACTCAGGCACTCACGAACTCTCCTGCTTCATGCACTTCCTGCCCAATGTGTCTCCCGTGCCCTACACCCACCATCCTTTTATCTGTACCATGCTATCCACTACTTAAAAAAGGTTTAAGTCGAGAGCATCGACTTCATTGCCCTGGGCTTTATGACATATGGCTCGGTCCCTCTCAGCCGAGCAACTAGCCGCCTGTCGAGAGTGTCGTGCAAAGCACAAACTCCGTAGCTCTGGCGACGATTCCCAGGGATCTCAGTAATAATTGCACTCATGAACTGAACGGCGCTGCAGTGAAACGAGCCCACGCTCTTCAGAGCGCGAGGCAAACGATTTCGCCACTTCGTCACAGAGACCGCCTTCTCTCCACTACTGTTCTGTTGTAAGCCGTTACGAAGTTTGATTTGTATTTTAACGTCTATGGCAAGATGCTGCCCATGATTAGCTTTCTTGGAATAGTAATGTCATGGGGATCCAGCCAGCAAAAAAATAGACACACGACATGAGAGACATTTGACATAAACTGCTAAGAGATGGGGGATATTTCGATGGGTCGCGATAAAAGCGACGGCCTTATATAAAGACAAGGTACACGATGATGAGTTCCATAAGATACTACTTAGATCTTTTGAACATAGAATGATGTATTTGGTCTCGCTTTGGTTCTGAGGCCCCATTGGGAATTAATATAATAATGGACCAATAGCTCCCTTGCACAACCCCCGCCCCACACACACCAGCCCCACACACCCGCCCCACACACACCCGCCCCACACACACCCGCCCCACACACACCCGCCCCCACACACACCCGCCCCACACACACCCGCCCCCACACACACCAGCCCCACACACACCCGCCCCACACACACCCGCCCCACACACACCCGCCCCACACACACCAGCCCCACACACACCCGCCCCACACACACCCGCCCCACACACACACCCGCCCCACACAACCCGCCCCACACACACCCGCCCCAACACACCCGCCCCACACACACCCGCCCCACACACACCAGCCCCACACACACCCGCCCCACACACACACACCAGCCCCACACACACCCGCCCCACACACACCCCGCCCCACACACACCAGCCCCACACACACCCGCCCCACACACACCAGCCCCACACACAACACACCCGCCCCACACACACCATCCCCACACACACCAGCCCCACACACACCAGCCCCACACACCCCCGCCCCACACACACCAGCAAGAATATTGCAAAAAACGATTAATTAGAAGTCTGCTGAAACCTGACTTGTTAGGTCGAAAGGCGCCGATATCGCACACTAGTCTGAACCACAACACAACGTACGAACGGCATTGCTAACAAAGAAGAAGAAGAAAAGGTTATCTTAAAGTTCACAAAATGCTATGCTAATGAAAATTCCTGGTTGCTCGTTCGATCTAGACTTTTGACTTTACTCCAAGAAATATGCGAAATGCGCAAAAACGACTGACTGACTTTCTACCTCACTAGAACATCACACAAGCGATAAACACCCGATGACACAAAGTGCCACCATGTGGATGAGGATCACAGTGGAAAGGTCCCAGAACCCGCGTTCAGACAATTGGCCACATTGATGGCCTGCCTATATTGCGGCCCCTGGCAAAAGCCAGAGTGGGGCTTCAAATAACAAAATTACGTCCTAAAAAGGACGTAATTAAAAATATAATATGCACACAAAAAAAATCATTTGAATACAAATGTTATAGACGGGTTCTAAGAACAATATGGGTAAAGAAAACAACAAATGCATACATACTTCAAGAACTGAATATTGAAGAAAGTTAGCTATTAAAGACGATCAAACAGAAAATTGAAATATCTTGGTCACTTGAAACATCACGAAAGTTTAGAGAGAACAATAATGGAGGGATATATGCCTGCGAGGAGAGGAAGAGAAAGGCCAAAGAGAAGATAGGTGCAGAATGTGGCAGATGATCTCTAGATAGGTGTATCGGACACAGGACATCTTACTTGTGATGGAAGAGTTTTTCGGAAGGTTGTTATGGGAGCAAGGTTCTGCAAAGGACATGCTACTAACTGATGAAAAAAAGTTTTTGTTTAAACTTTCAAAACTAAAGGGAGCAAATTCTTTAACACCCACCTCTACACGTAAATTTACGAATTGCTTCCCTTATCACCCGCACTGCACAGAAAGGGTTTGTGGCCGTAAGGTACCCTACTACACCTTGGTATACGGTTAAACAGGGTATTTTGTATTTGTTCCTGTCGGACTAGCATTCGAATAGTGGCTCCTTGAGTTACTTGGCGGTCAACTTTCAGGTTGCATTCCCAGAAGCGCAAGTCCTAGTTTCAGTATAGTATTCCCCCCCCCCCCCCCCAAGAGTGAAGGTTACACCAGGGAAGTATTTGGTGTGGCCGTTAGAAGTGTCAAAATTACAGGACTTTAAGGTTTTTCCTGTTGAATTGGTACCTAGGATGAAGCACTCTGAGGTGCGTGGGTGCGTACACCTTCATACTCCATAAAGAGGTAGGAAGAACAAGTCAGTGGCATGTTTTAAAGAAAACAACGTCCACAAAACGCAGTGTGACCAGAAAGACTGTACAGTAAAAGTAGAAAAAAAACCCCATTGTGCACTCTTTCAAGCGTA